ATAATAATAATAATAATAATAATAATAATAATAATAATAATGAGCTCTTACGCGATTATCACTGATAACGCAAAACGCAGAAAGTTAATTTATTCGCTATAAATCAACAAACACAAAAATGCATTGTTTATCAGTACTGCGCCAGGTAATGAGTTTACTTTGAAAGGAACAACCGGAAGCAAAGATCGTTTTTTCTGTATCGTCACTCAACGCCCCTGCTAACTAGAAGAGCAATATTACTCGACATACACAGCCACCTTTGCGATACTGCCTATGTATTGTCAGCGCGAACAGGCAGGCTGTGTTTAGCTCTCGAGTTGCCAGCAGGTGAGTTAAAACCTTTAAACTCGGTTGACGTTTGGTGTGACGCAGTTTAGTTGAGGTTAAAGCTCGTCCGCGTTCGTTTTAAGTTACTGGTAACTTTTTATTGTTTACCAAAAGTCGCACTTAGGATAGGCCTATTCCAAGAAAGTGAAAGTAAAACAATACTGAAAGAAGGCCAAAACAAATATAACTATTTTTGGCCGAACTTAGTGTCCTCCAAGCTAGTATTACACGATTATTTTGAACTAGCATGTGAGATTTCCGACTCGTACTTGTAAATTGGCGATCAACGGTGATATCCGCTGTTAAGAGCTTCTAAATGTGATATTACATCTTATTTAGGCTATTATGTAGTATACCATAGCGTTAGGGCGAAAGGACAACACAGTGTCTCTGTTATTGAAATCAAATTGCCATATCATGTGACTCTTGATGGGATAATTCGCCTCGGCATGCTCCTTCTCGGCTCCCGAAGCACTGAGTCACTGAGTGATGTCAGCAGACATTTTTTTTAAACATGTCTTACTGGCAACAACAAGCCAAATGAGATTAAACACAAACGTATTCGCAGTTAAAAATGCCGCATTTTTTCATTTTTTATTTTTGGTAAACATTAAAATCAGCTGTTAAATTTACAAAAAAAAAGAAAGAAAAAGATCAACGTTAGTATTTAAGTCAATTTCTTCTTGTGATTGTGATTATTTGAAACCATAAATCCCGAATGTATTAATTATTTTTAAATTAACTTATAGTGCGTAATATATAACATGGGATCATTTTGATTTTATATTATCTGATAAATGTTCCACGTGAGGAATGCAGCATTAAAGCCACTATATGTAGAACTGGAAGTGTGAGCTTCAGTGCCCCCTAGTGGGAACAGCAAACACCAAAACTTACCATA